TAGACCGAATATATGTGTATTGGGAAAAGAACGCTGACTAAATCATCTTAATTCGCAATTGGGCATCTTATTCAACTATGTTCGCCCGATGTAGGGATGTTTACTTAAGTCTCAAATGAATTGCATTTCAACGTGGGAAATAATTAAAAGCCTGGAGAGTCAGTGTCACAAGTTATTGTCATCGAATCATATACGACACTCGTAATTCATTCTCTTCATTCTCTTGATGAACTGTCAATTTATCTAGCCAGATATCAAAGACATCTCATAGACTGTATTTTTATAAATAGTCGATTTTTATTAGGCTTAAAACTCGCTCAGGAGAAAACCGAATCGCATGATCTGTGTATAATGAAACTATTATGGATGCTAGAAAATTCATAGATTAAGTAGTGCAAGCTGATAATTATCGTACTTGACCTAACCACTGTGTTTTGAATTGACCTGTGAGAAAAGGACGAGTATGTAATGTTTGATTGGAGGCTATGTAGAATCCCAGCTACATCAGTTTGGAAGTAACATATACTACATTATAACAACCATTTTTTAAAATAACAGGCGTATTTTCTGTTTTTACTGTCTATTTCCTAAAGTTCTATTAACTGAAAATTGCATTCACTAGAATTGTTTATCTCTGTTTTCAGGTACATATATTTTACTTTGTTACGTGATCCTGTCGATCGTTTTATTAGTGAATGGCAACATATACGTCGCGGTGCTACATGGCATTCAGCTACTCTTCGATGTAATAAACAATACCCACCACTTGAACACTATAAACCATGTTATTTTAATGAAGAAATTGTCGAAAATATCCCGTCTAATGTATCCATTAAATCTGTTATAGATTGTCCTTACAATTTAGCAAGTAATCGTCAAACAAGAATGTTAGCAAACCTTTCTAGTCTAGGATGTTATAAACATTTAACGAAATGGTCTCAACCTCTTAATGTCGCAGTATTAACCCATATTCCACGAGTTTCATTAGCTCTTTTAAACAGTGCTAAGCATAATCTTGTCAGTATTATCAGTTGTTATGGTTTAAGTGAATACTTAATTTATTCACAATACATATTACAAAAATGTTTACATATTACTTTTAAACGTTCATTTATTGAATTTAATAAAATATCTTTTATGAAACAAAGATTATTGTTTACACATGCTACAATAATCCGTTCCAATTTAAATCAGTCTACTTTGCGTGAAATACAAAATGTAAATAAGCTAGATATTTTTCTATACAATTTCGCCAAACAATTATTTGTGTATCGATTAGTAAATTATTTATTATTTGATTCGAATATACCGCTGCATTTCAGACGACCTTTACACACTATTTGGCACAATAGACCTAGATCTAAATCATATATATATCTAAGTTATTTACTGTTTTCCAATCCTATAATCAATTATCATGATGCTAATATCAGTAGTAATGCATTTTCATATCGTTTCAATTTATTTCTTACTAATTTGTTCATTCGTAAAGGTAGCATTCCAGTATCCGAGTCTATTTTAACCAGTGAAAATAAGAAATGGAGTGATCGACTTTCTTACGATTTTAAAATCTAGTTTGTAAATTACTTAGAATTTCCTCATCGACCCCCTCCCTCTTCGCTCACTTTTTGTATTTCTATTTTTCCGACCAGTTTTGGATTGTAAAATGATGTTTGTTTTACCAAATATTATTTAAAGTATTTTTTCACAAATTATTCTAATGAGAAGAGTAAAGAAAAAGCAACAAACTATGAAAAGCATTTGTAGGGGTGGCATTAGTATACCTAATTTCTATGCGTTATTATTAACGGTTATTTCATATGATTTTCATTTTTTCATAATCGCCGGTTTTCATTTTATTCAGCATATCTTCTTTTTTTCTCAAATAATTTTAATCTAATCATGAGCTAAATATCCTGATTTTGTACCCGAAATGTATTATTTTAGTTATTGTACGTTGTCGTTCAGTTGTTCATATCTCTAGATATGTACATTTATGAGTTAGCGATTCATTTAGATACAGACGTTTGGACTTATATCTTCTTGCCGTATTTTCTCATTGGATGTTGGGGAAAAGGAAGTATCTGAACATGTGGTTAGTGTTCTTATAACAGATTTTTTAGTCAAGCAGTTAAAGTGGACAGTTCACAGGATCAAATCACTAGTAGTCGGACTCACAATTTGTTGTCACAGGGTTATTTTAAGTAGCTTAATGTATCAACAGCATCACTAAGTTGTGAGTGAGTTTTCTCGCATTTCTAACATCAGGACCAGTAGATATCAGAGGTCATCACACAAAGATTCCTAAGGCTGTGATTATTTTAAATTCACTTCCATCGGGGTGAGATAATTTTTTAAGTATATGAGTCAACTGTTCTAGCGAAGTGTGTCTACTGGGATAATAACTTTCTTGATTTCGATTTATACTTGAATTAAGTGAAAAGTCAGTCTCATTCCCTCAAGGGCATTCCTGGACTGTGACAAAATATCTGTCCTATACTCACTTTCACTTTTAATGACATGCTTGGAAATCCTCAGAAGTGAGAAAATAGAAAACAAATCCACTTGCGCCATTACGAACGAATCTGAGCAATGTTTTGCGAACCTTCCAACTATTGGTTACTATAATCTCATGGGGCCCAACAAAGTGGTCTGCACCAACCTGTATGACTCGATCCAAAAGTCAGTGACTCCATGGATTAATACCATGTCTTGGTTTGCCCGTTAACAGCTTTCTTCCTACTTACTCCAACACCAGCGGTCACCGCGAGCCTGAGTCGCCATACGTAATATATGTCCTAACAGTGTGTCGATAAACACTACCTCATCAGTCGATTTATCATCTTTATCTAATGCTCTACGTCTACGTACAATACTTTGAACTCCGTGGTCCCAAAATACACGACATTTTTGATCGAGTTCTAGTAACCTGCGCATATCATCTATGTTAAAGGCCACGTTTCAAAGTCGTAAAGTAGGACGGAATAAACTGTTGCTCAGTATACTCATCCTCCAGTTGGCAGATGGATATCTCGCAAGTTGACAAGAGCCAGTCAAACTTACTAAATCCATACTGAGATTTCGTTGGATATCAACTCACCAGGACTGATGAAACTTCTCAAATAAATGAAGGCACCGACAAGCCCAACTACTTCACTTTTCATTATTAGTTCATGCATTGATGTAGACTAAACTTAAGGTGACTTCTTGAATTTGGAGAGAGAAACACCGAAAGCATGCTGACATTGTTGTTTGAATCAATCAGAAGACGTCTTCAAATAGGACTATATCATCTGCTTCAACAAATGAATCTCCAAGTAGATAATTGTGGATGTCTATAATAATAAGTATTTGGAATAAAACTCAGTGGTGTAATAAATACAAGAAAGAGTTTAAGGAAAAAGAAAAAAAAATTAATAAGATATAACGAAGGAATATTAATCACCAAGGCAAGGAAAGATTAATAACCATCTCCTTTTGAACACATAAATCAGGCTTTTGGCGCCTGATAGCAACTGCTTCAGCAAACTTCAGAAGACTGGAGTTTGGCTGCTTACTAATCACCTTGAATGATTGTGGGGTATCGACCTGATGTCCTGTATCAAGAAGATGTTTGGTGATTGCACTATTTAGAGTCTTTCTTTTTCTACGTTCGATTTATCGAAAAAGTATTTGGAATGGCATTTACCTGAATTTCAATAGCTTTTGTCCACTCAGTTACAAGAAGGCATTAGTTAAAACACTATTTTATAGGGCAGAAAAGATATGTACCACTGACAAACTCGAAGAAGAATTGATGAAAGTGGAAAAATGCCTGCGAGACAACTTTTACCCACAAACGTTTATTGACAAGTATAAGAGGCGTAAAGAAAACAATACTGAAGTAATTACTGTCAATAAAAAGCCAATAACTATAAGTCTTAACTTCAAAGGTGACGAGGTTGCAAACACAATCAACAGGAGACTGAATACTGCGCTAGCCAGAACTTATCCGGCGGCCAAACTTCAAATTCTGTATAAAACAACATGCTCAATAACTCAATCAAAAGTTGATAAGCATCCTTTTCATGTTACCGCCAATTGTATTTATAAATTTACGTGTACTTGCCAAAGCAGCTACATTGGCCGAACAGAAAGGAGGGCATATCTCAGATTTTTTGAACATGTCCCAAAAAGCCTCAGAACAAGAGAAAGAAAGACTCTAAATAGTGCAATCACCAAACATCTTCTTGATACAGGACATCAGGTCGATACCCTACAATCATTCAAGGTGATTAGTAAGCAGCCAAACTCCAGTCTTCTGAAGTTTGCTAAAGCAGTTGCTATCAGGCGCCAAAAGCCTGATTTATGTGTTCAAAAGGAGATGGTTATTAATCTTTCCTTGCCTTGGTGATTAATATTGCTTCGTTGTATCTTATTAATTGTTTTTTCTTTTTCCTTAAACTCTTTCTTGCATTTATTACACCACTGAGTTTTATTCCAACTATCTTATTTTATTTTATCAACTGAACTCTACTCATTTTATTCCTATCAAGGTTTATTTGTTTCTAACCCTTTGAACTGTTGTCACAATGTTCTTTCATCACATAAGGTATATATTTACAATATTCAGTCTATTCAATTTATTTACACCCTTGCTATACTATATGAATATGTCTTTAATATAACTTCCAATCAAACTCTTTTATGTAAGTAATTTAAACCCATTAATTATGATTTTAAATATCACAGGTTGTAAGCAGCTGACGAGAACCAACGAAATAAAAATGAATTCATGCTATTCTGCTAGAATGTTTGTTCTTGCTCTTTTCAAAATGATAAAGGGAACTATGTGTATGATAATAAGTATCTACTGATGTATTGTATTTGAATTAAACTAGTCAACTTTAATTGTTCAAAAATGCTTTCATACAAACTACTCAACTCCTATCTGGATGATATTTCGTGAAAAATCTTAAAAAAAATAAACTCCAATTAAAATATATATTTATTGTTGTGTACAGTTTCAAATGGTACTAATTCAACTCGATTTTTATTTCATATAGTTTATACAACAAAGAAAAAGTACCCAAATAATTATTGATATCAATAACCATACAGTTAAAATAATTGCACCAATAATTATGTTATTTCCTTTACTAATCATCATCATCATCAGATTAAAAGTTGAATTTCTCCCATGACAACAATCATATGTACCATTATTAGTTTTAAGAAGAATTCCAAATTTCAAATCACAATTATTTGTAATATAAGGTAAGTTTGTTTTTTCTATGTCTATTGTATAATTATGTTTGTTATTGTTTGATGATATCCAAGATATATTGGAATTCATTAAATTTGGATTATATTTCACTATTAAATTTTGTTGATATTCATTAAATAATTGATGATTTTGTTTTGATAAATGAAAAGAATTCTGTTGAATAGTTTTAATGAGAAAAGTTTTTGTTTTATTCATTTGATATATTTGTTTATTTAAATTGATCCATTTGATGATTGGATCAATTTGATCGCATATTATTTCATCATGAATTTCTATATGTCTACTAGTAAGTAAAAATTTATCTATTATTGGTATCCATATATGCTGTAATAATTCATATTCACATGGTATATGAATAAAATGATCATCAATGTATAATTTAAAGCCTAAACGTTTAGCTTTATTCATAGCTAATTGTTTGGAACCATTCAATTTTGAATCATATAATCGTGTAAAGTATTCAAATGATAATCTTAATATTTTATTAATTTCCATCATTTCATAATCATTACTATTGTTGTTGTTGTTGTTGTTGGTGGTGGTGGTGATGGTGGTGATGGTGTTGTTGTCATGATTCTTGATAGTTTCTTTTAGTTCTGATTCGAATCGTGGTATTTTCAAATAACATCGTCTATATTGATTGAATTTAATTTTGTCACAATGTTTTCTAACTTCATTTTCTTCATCTATTTTAAATATAATAGTCATAAAACGTAAATGATAATTAGCTAATTCAGTAATATTGTTTAATGTAATATTCATTTGATTATGTAATATATGTATTTGTTGTATATTTGATATGTTTATTAGTTTAGAATTTTGTTTCAATGAACCAATTCTATATAAATGATACCAAATAAAATTAGCTGGATGCATTTTATCTTTTATATATTGACAAACATATGTTCCTAAATATTTATTTGCATTAATATTTTGTCCAATTAATTGTGAATTAGATTTACTAATACAAAGATCATTGAATGGATCTTGTTTAATTCTTTCTAATAATTTATTATTAAGCATAGTATCACTTTCATATAATGTTTTATTAGATCTAATAAATATAATATACTTTTTATAATGTGGTATATAATTCCATTCGAATAGATCTAATCTTTCATCTGGACATATTGGACAAAATAAATGAAATGTAATATTGATTTCATTTGCATTAAATAATAAGAATTGATGTCGTCTACCAGCTTTTTCTATACGTTCAATATTACATGGTTTATTAGTTTTTATATTGGGTATATCAAAATTGCATATTTTTAGTTTATCATCAGTAGTATATAACGACAATAATAATAATAATAATTGTAGAATAATTAAAGAATTCATTATTGTATAATTAATTACATGTTTTTTTATGAATGTAACCATCGGCAATTCCTCGTTTTCACAAGTTTACACTACTGATATGTACTTACATCAGTTAATTATGTCAAACATTTATAGTATGGTAAAATTTAAAATTGTTTAAAATCTATATGTTTATGCCTTAAGCATAATAGTGATAAACCTATAAAATCTAATCATTTATCATATTTTATATACTAGATGTGGGCTGAGCTGTGATATTGCCCGGGCGCCCAGACCGAATTAGTGAACTTAATGGTTAGATGTGAATATTTATTATTATAATGGACTGAATAAGAGTCGAGTAAATGTAATAGGATTGAATAGATGTCTTTAAAAAAACGTCCGAAATAAATACAATGTGTAAGGCAATATTATACAAAATCAAATATTACCCCTGATGGAGCAGCCATAGGTCACTCACCAGGATTCTCCATCTAACTTTCAGTTGCATGTGTTGATTTCAATTCATGTGACTGTAGCTTCCTTTCATCACTAGGTCACCAAAATATAGTAGATTTTCCTACTGGTTTGGATGCTCATTTACACTTTGTTTTCATTAATGATGTGGGTATATATGTGGTTCGTAAACGTGCACCATTGTCTAGCTCGGATCACTGTATAATTCATGTTCTACCTAAAGTATGTGGAAAGCATAGAAAGAGTACATTCTTGCATCAAACCAAGAAAGTCAAATATAGGAATTACTCAGAAGAAAATATCCGAAATCTGAAAAACATGTTTCTTACGACTAAAATGATGTAGTTAAAATAAGAGTGATGTAACAAGATAAGGATGATGTTACTAAGGTAAAGAAAGATTCATCATTGTTTCTTTTTGAATTTAAAGATCCAGTTTGAAACATTTAATTTTTATGGTTTGAGTAAATTTAAGGAGTGAAGAGTATGGTTATAGATTGATCACCTTGAAATACTTCATCATAATCTCAACCTGATGTTCTATGATAAAGAGGTGGTTTGAAACCTCAGTACTAAGTATTTCATTGCTTTAACCTAATACCTGATACTTTTCGGAATAATATATACTTGAAGTCAAATACAGTCCGTTCCTTCTTTCTTCTCTACCTATATATTTATATATCAATTTTGTCGTTCTTTGCCATTTAACTGTTCACCAATTTGTATATATTACTTTTCAGTTATTTTTTTCTAAAAAATTATTTTCACAACATTCTCAAGAAGATTTTACATTGTTAATAAATGAGGATTATTTATTTGTCTTGTACACTTTCCTACTGCCCCCAAATGCCCTGGTACGGCCGAGAGGAGGGAGAGTCCGCTCTCCCTCTCGAAATGCCCTCACATGGCCACGCGTATATAGCCTCTGCCGAGGAAGTCCTACTCACTGCCTTCTCATGGCGGGGGTGTTGTTTACGAAAATGAGAGGACGAAAAGAGAACGTCCGGCGCTTTAACCAGATTCCAAACCAATGGTGCACATGGGCTCCAGTATCCTGCGGAAGCAAATGGCGTATGCACCAATTGTTGGTCACCGGCTACCATGGGACTGCATCTCCTTACGATACTCCACTTCCTTTTGGATCAGGCCTTCAGGTCGAAGGCTCGGGGAGTGGCCGCCTAAGAAAACCACCTGATTCGGTTTGGGCACCCGGACAGTATCACAGCCCTCACACATATCAAATGAGATATGTGTGGCGTATATGTATTTGGTGCCTCCTTGTACCAACATCTATGTGTTAAAATAAAATAAAAACCCACATAGTTTATTCTGGCTTCGGGACAAGCCAATTTATTCATTCTTCTTGAGTCATGTTTTCATCATGTTAGTGACTCGCTTATTAATCGTGACTTTTTATATGAACATTTATGTATTCACATTTTATCCTATTGATCACATGTCCGTAAGTTATTTTTGTTCGACTATAAATATTGATTCAGACATGGCTAAATTGAGTTTGCTCACACACCTACTCCACTATGCGTCATTTCGCTTCTCTATCTCTTTTCTTCGCTTCGCTTCTTAGATCGTTTGTCTGGGTCAACGATTGTATAAAATATACGTACTCGAAATCCATTCTCGTATTTGACTTATTTAATTCCGTTGTTCACCAGCGATTTAAGTAGACGATTATATACAAGGGTATCCGGGATGTATACATCGATAACAATCTAGAATATGATCTAACTGGAGTCAGATATCAGGCCACTAAACACTTTTAGAACCAGCCAACCATTAGCCTAGTCCCCAATCATAGATTGCCACAGTTGTGTCTGGTCAAATTTATAAGTCTCTATCTGTTTACACCATATACTGTTGAATAAATCAAAGTTATGTTTATTTGATTTCCATCGATCGCGTATGTGAGGACGGCCAACCGGTAATCATCTTGTGGAAGAATGTTCTAAAATCTCTACTTGTAGCTTCCCTATTGGATAAATGCTAAAAACCCCTGTTTGCTGATTGGGTGAATATAATGATGATTTCGCTTTTACTAAAAACTATAAACACCTGATAGTTTTGTACCATATTTGACACTGTTTGGAATAGCATTCTTTTGATTTGTCTTTCTTCTCGTAACTCGCGACTTGGAGGGTTCTAGCGTTCGGGTGCTGAAGCTGTACGCGGTATATTAAGAATGTAAGCTCTAGATATAACAGTGTATTGGTTAGATTATTTAAAATATAGTACTAGTTGTATCTCTTGAACTTGTTGTCTTGGAATATCATGTATTATGTGAAATTTGTTCCGCTTTTGAGGTTACACTTGAATGTAATTAATAACTGTTTAGCTGGGAAAAAAACAAATCCAGCATGTTAGTATGAATGCAATGTCTACCATCCTATTTCATTCATTATAAAGTAAGTAAGATATTATATTTGATCAATCCGCAATACAATCGATCATCCCAAAAAATACAAGGTCATAACAATAATTTAACTTAGTTATTTACATTTACTATAAGTTTCATGTATTTTACTTCAGTTATACTACTCTTATTATTATCAGTAGTATTTTCATTTTTATTTAATTTTATTCCAATTTCCAGTCATTTAAACGTCTGCCCAAATAATAAAACTGTTATATACAATAATAATAATGAATTAAATAAATGTTATGCATTACAGTTAAATTTAGCTAAACAACGTCATATTATTAGATTAATTAAACGTGATCAATTTACAATTAGCATGTCATTTATGTTCAAATGATAATCCAATACATTTTCAATGGTATCGTATTCTACGTAAAAAATATAATCAAACAATATTTCATTTAAGTAATAAAACACTCTATGATCATAAATGGATATTGAATAGAGATTTACTTGAACCAGTTCTAACTAATACACTCATAAATGATCCATGTTTAATAAATGGAACAAATGAATTAGTTTATAAAAAATTTAATCCATATCATGATTCTGGTACTTATGTATGTCAATCATTAAATAATAATAATAAACATCCTTTAAATTTTATATGGTATCATATAGATTATATTAATGCTTATACAAATACATGGTCTAGATTAAATTTACTATTTACAGAACGAATGAATAAATCTGTAACTACAATATAATCAATTAATACAATTACAAAAATATATTGAAGAAGAACTTAATCGGCCGGAATATTTTCATGATCAAACATTCAGTTTACTACGTATTACATCAAAATCATTTCATCATTTGACACACTACAAATATTGTGGTAATATCCATGTCCAACAAAATCGTGTTTGTTATGTACAGATACCATGAAAACTACCAAGCCATATTGATAATAGTAATAATAATATAGAAGAAATAAAATTAATTTATTTTATATTATTCAATGGTTTCTATGAATTTGGACAATTTTATGATAGTAATAATAATAATAATAATAATAATAATTTGTGCCCATTCATTAAGTGTGGTTGGGGTAGCAAGCGCAGTTGCTTTTTACACTTTGGGATTCTGGATTGTTTTCAATGACTTGGGTGGTCAAGCTATTATTTTTTCTGCTAGAAACACACCCAACCACAAGATTGGGTGTAAATTATATGAAATTAGAAAAATTAGCGGCAAGACTTTAATTTATGGACGACCTTTGAACGAATTTTAAGTGACCATGAGAAATATTAGTCAATCAGCAAACAGTCAGTATAAAGTGAAATATGTTATACAAAACCAAGGAAATAAAGTGGATATACTTCTTATACGTGGTTCAAAAACTTGTTAGGTTAGAAAGAGGTTCAGAGGTTCTAAAATCGTAATGTATGCAGTGGAGGAAATCATCCAGCCAGCCTCGACCACATAGCTTCAATATTGTTTATGTGCAAACCGGTTGATGAATGCACAAAATGCTACTTATGGATAACGACACGATGCACATAACCAAGCCTATACAGGAATCTGTACGCCCTCCAACACATCCGTATATATTGTGGTACCTGGATACAGCCAGTGTTACTGGTGCTTTTATTATCCAGTTCGCAACAATTGTCGTAATTTGCCTTAGTTAGAAACTAAATATGGAATTCTCATCACGAACTGACATCAGCTATAATGCCAGAAATTTTATTTAGCCAAATGGCCATCCATCAGGATGAAAGGCTTTCACGTTAAAATCCGAGATCTATTATCTTATACCTGATTGATTCGTCCACAAATGATAGTCCCGCCGTTTTATTTGTTATAGCCGCTCAATTATCACGTTTTGTATAAAATCCCCTGTGAACCGATTGTACGTTAGCATAAAGCACTGAAGTTGGAGCCATAACCTTGAAATCTCTAAAACGCCTCTGATTGGCTCGTCTATAAAATAGAGTCTCGCCTAATAATCTAATTAAATGGAGTACAACTAATTTAACATTTTATTCACCTACTATATTCAATGAAAGAATTTATATGAATGAAAAATGTCAATTAATTATTCATAATGTCAAATAATTGATTCTAATATTTATAATTGTCCAGAATATATACGAAAACTTTGGAAGTACACCGTGGTCATCCCATACCGTAGCGAAACATCGGAAGAAATCAAGCGGATTCTAAACAATCATGATATAAGCATGTATTTTAGGGCTAGTGACAAGTTAGCTGAACGAAACGTTGGAATTATTTAAATTTCAATCGCTGAGATTATTTTAAATATAATTTCCACATATAATGGACTCTATACTAGGCGCCCAATTTCTGTCAAACTATTCGTTGTAATCTTGACGAATATTCGTATAATTTATAATTGTTATATAAAAAATCAATATCAACCAATGGCAACTAAAAATATATAGATCAAAAACTGGAAAATCTTATTGCCAATGGCCTAGTGAAAATAATTTATTAATTGATAAGAACTTTCGTCTAAATTTAAACGAATAGTTTCACAATATTTGGGCGCCGAGTTCATTTGAGACATTAAAAAGAAGAAGAATATATTTGTAAAATCTCAGCGAATAAATTTTAAGTAAATCCAACGTTTCGCCTGGCAATCTGGTCCAAGCTTTTTCAAGGAAAATATAATTAAACAACAAAATTATCGAATATAAATAGGTACATGGTTCTTCGGTTTACTGTATACTGAATAAGTCATCCAATCAACTTGAAGGATTTTTATAAATAGGTATTTGTATTAATGTGTAAGAGACATGTTTATATGAAAAATAATAAAGGTCAAACAAATAAAAGTTCATTTGAAAATAATCAAGGGGAGAGAAAGAATAAGAAATTGTCGTGTTATCCTAGGCCATAGAATGACTTAAGGATTACAAGGTAAATTCAAGGTTATGACGAATTGTTTTTGTACACATAAGGACAAGGTATGTGTTATGGAACCAAAACGTGTTAAGATAACAGAATGTGTTTATACGCAAGTGATGTGAGGAGAAATTTCATCCAACTAAATATTGAACATTGTTAACGTTGATTGGATGATTTATTCAGTATACAGTAAACCGAAGAACCATGTACCTATTTATATTCGATAATTTTGTTGTTTGATTATATTCTCCTTGGAAAAGCTTGGACCAGATTGCCAGGCGAAACGTTGGATTTACTTAAAATTCATTCGCTGAGATTTTACAAATATATTCTTTTTAATTTATTAATTGGTTTATTATTTTTCATTATATGGAGTGTTATATCCGAGCGAAGATTAACTCACGAGTAACTTCTGAGACATATTAATTGACTAATATAATCTATACATTCTTATGGTATAACTATTCAATAATTAGATTATGTAAATTTATATTCCTCTTATTATAAGCTTTATTTTCACCTATAATTTATTATTGTACGATTTACTGTTCGTAACCTATGTTCAGTTTATTGACTACTACCTCCCACGTTCACAGTCACTTTTTGGCTTTATTGTGTACAAATGTTATTTCCTATTTTATGGTGCGTTGCAGTCTGTTTGATTGATATATAAACCCGGTATGTCTTAAATAAATGGTTCGATTCGCATATTAGAAGCTGGTATTGGTGTTCTGGGCTCAAGTGGACGGGCTAGGCGGATATAGGACCAATAAGGACGCTAGACTGCTTATACCGGTCGAACGTCATTGGTTTGGCACAGTGCTAAGATTGTATAAGTCGTATTTTGATTAGTGGATAAATCACGTGATAAAAGGCCGGACATAAACTCATAACATGGAGTATATTTATTATAATAATAAGGTTTATTTTAATAATTTATAATGTATATATATTTAAACAATTAGCGGCGAGACTATATATTTATGGACAAATCAATCAGGTGTAAGATAAGACTTAATAGCGTCTTAGCATTTTAGGTAATGTCAGTTCATGATGAAATCCCTAAATCTAGTTCCTAACCCTAACCATCAAATGTAAATCATAATTCTAATTTCTTACATTGCTTTATAGTCATCATTTCGTCCTAGTTAGTAAGTGGATGTTATCATGGTTACTTTAATGTCGCTCAAAGTTCATCCATATATTATAGTTTCATCCAAATAGTTTGTAGCAGCTCACGTGCAATCGAGTTTGTTCACATTTAATTTGATAAAGCCGTTTTTTGTTAACTTATTTAACACGGATAGAGTTATTCGTACAATAACAAGTTATCTTATATCATTGTACCTTTATTATTGTTGCACTTGTATGAATAGGTATGTTTGACCATTGCTTACTGCCTATATATATATTCATTCTGCTAGTCTTACTGTTAGTCACTTAATTGATTCGATGATTTATTCATTACCCTATGTGTATATATGTACATTTTAATCTTGTTCACTCTCATGTTTGCTTTTCGCACTACTCTTTCATGCTTGTTTAGCGTACTTGTGATTTTGATTATCTATGTGTGATGCAATAATAAACGTAATCAACACTTCTTATTCGCCTTCTGATTAATACATCGTCAGGAACATTATCTAGTAACGTTTATCAGGACGAACAGTATACGATTTTTAAGCATTATATTGATTACCGACCACCACAAACTAATGAACAGTTAGCATATATTGAACACATTGAAAAAAGTGTAGATTTTTAAACGGTATAATTGTTAGATGAATTAAAATTGATTATTTGTTTTATAGTAAAAGTTTTTGTAAAGAAGAAGAATGACAAGAACAGTTTGATTGTAAAAAACATGAATTGATTCTATTTCATTTATGTTTTGACTGTAATTTACATAATGAAAACTGATTTTTCCCTCGGCACAAACATACAATAAAATACCATAATTTTCGACTGCTTACTAGATTACGTGATACACGTATACTGTAATTGTTATACGTGCACTCATGCAGTATCCAACTCAACAGTTGATTACCTAACAATAGAGACAATGGTTCATTTACACAAGTATAAGCATTCCACACAGTGAAAGCCAAAGTAGTACTGAAAATGGAAGAGAATTCACAATATTAAGTTATTTCCCAAACATTTAGTAAAGTTCATTGTCTTTTCCCACTAGCTAATTATGACTCAATATTGTATGTTTCTCATAAATTACTTATAACCTGTAGCAACAAAATTACTAACGAACTTTTGTAGACTTTTATCAAAATGAACTTGTACGAAAGTTATTGTAAACACGCTTTATTTGATCTAGTACAGCAAAGTTGTTTGCAATTCAAATATAACTTTAAAGAACAAATATAATGTGACAAATAACAATTAACATGTCAACAGGAAGGTTCTGGATTTAAGTAATATGCCTAAGTGATAAGCACTCAAAATAAAACCGAATTATGGACGAAAAGCCCTTATTGAACTGATATCGAATGTAGGACAACTAACCAGTAAAGATAGCTGTCTTCTGTAATAAGATGGTAGACTGATTTATAATTTATGTAAGATATTTAAACATAATTGTTTGTAGGATTAAGATAATTGTTAGACCATTCACGAGTCAGACCAGTTGAAGTCCTAATCATTTGAACTAAATCTTGCTCTCTGTATCGTTAAAGCACCTATTAAAGTTGTAGCAAAGCATCAAGGGACTTGAAATAAGCAGTTGGATAATCAAATGAATGGATGAAATTTATCGACAGCTTAAAATGAAATTATAAACAATGTAAGAGTTATGAGCAAAGATGGATAGTGCCTAACAGTGGAATCCATGATGCACATTTGTAAAATTTCAGAAAAATCATTTATAGTATATTCGGTTAGTTCATATCAAGCTATTCTAATCAACTCGTGATATTAAGAAGGATCTTCCCGTATCATTGGTAAGTGCTAGGTTTGTAGCTATTACGAGTTCACTTAGTATGCGAACGGAACAAAGACTTGTGATCTTAGACCAATAAGCTAGCTATCTGATGCGTTACAGCCCCGCTAACTAGAGGAAGAAGTCCAAGCTTGGAACGGGAAAGTATATTCCGTAAGCCAGAAGCGCGAGTGAATAATAACAGATACAAATCAAATGTATATATATATATATATATATATATATATATATATATATATATATATATATATATATATATATATATATATATATATAGCATAAAACTGTCCTTGGGAATCGTAGCAAAAATAGCATACTAAAAATACATAACTGACCAATAGCGCTAAAGGTTCTCCCAAGTGGGTGAAAAGTACGCTTCTAGCGCGAAAACAAGGAAATTCAGATTTCCGGAATAAAATTACAAAATTAAGGCATTTACCAAGTGAGTTCTGTGGATCTAACATCCCCAACAGTAAGTAACTGTCTTACACTCAACATGATTGAAATCAACTGTTCACAGCTTCTCGTTAGAACTATGAAAATCGCCTCTTGAAATTAGTCACTAATGAATACAAGATCTTTATGAGGTTAGAAATATATCAGGTTAGACATTCGCCACTAAACTTGATGGTTTTGGGTTCGAAACCTGATGAAATTTCTAGTGCGCATTGTTAACATGTCTCATACTAGAACAGGGAAACTGTCTGTTCATTGGCTGTTTAACTGTTGGGATGTGTTCTGCTTGATTGGTATATAAACAGAGTATGCTTGAAATATAACGATTCATATCTCAGAGGCTGAGACTTGCGTTCTGGACTTAACTGGCTGGGCTAGACAGGGAAGCGGGGCCAATCAGAACTCTGGGCCATTCTTACGTGTTTACGCGTCTTTGGTCTGGTCGATAATAAACTGCCCTCTAATCAGCAGTCCACAAGTATAACATTAACTGAGGTCAATTTGTGATATAAACTATAAAATCTAACAATCTCTAAAGATGTTTTACATTAATAATAACAATAATTCAGTTACAATATACGAACATCAATTTATTTATTGGTAGAATGACCGACCATTCATTCAATAAATATATAAACAAAATTAAGAACCATTCATATTTTATTTATAATATTCTATAGATCAAATGTATGATTTTTAAACTATACCATTATATTCTGTAGTCAAGGATGAATAATTGTGAAACTATTTTCATTAGATTAAACCATGTTAATAATATGAAGAATTGGATTTATCAATGGATTATATATTTATTAATTTACAATATTGTCAGTATGTCATTTCTTAACTCGCTTGTATTAATCTTAATTTATATACCATAATATTCAGTATTCGTTTTGGGCGAGACTGCAATTTATGGATGAGCTAATCAGAAGCGTTTCAGGGATTTCAAGGTCATGGCGCTAATTTCAGTACCTGATTCTTACGAACGATCGGTTCACAGAAGATTTTAAAGGAGACGTGATAAATGAGCGGCTACAATAAATGAGACTACTAAGAAGTTCCTTCATTTTTTTAATTGTGATAATCATATGACTTGTGGACCTTGTGCAGACTACTGTGATGATGTTGTGTTTCGATGTGATATATGTTGGAGGAAGAATTTTGCTAGAGTAGGAATTTTTCGCTCAATCCAGATTGAGCAATTTATGGTAATTGTTGCGAACTGTATAATAAGAGCACCAGTAACATTGACTGCAACATTCGCAGATGTTACTGAAGTTTCGGTTGTTCAGTGGTATAGGTTTTGTAGAGATATATGTGTAATAAAAATGACAAGCTAACACAACCGGAGTGCACACAAACAATATTGAAGCTATGTGGTCGAGGCTGACCATTATGGAGTTATATGGATGAGTTCGTCTACCGTATGCATTACGATTTTAGAAACTGTGAACTTCTTTCTAACCTTGACAAGCTTTTGAACCATGTAAAAGAAGTGTATCCACTTTAATTCTTTGGTTTTGTATAATATTTTTAGTCTAAACTAACTGTTTCTTGGTTGAGTATTATTTTTCAAGGTTACTTAGGATTCCTTAAAAGGTCGTCCATAAATTATAGTCTCATCATTGAAGCTACATGAATTAAGAAATAGTGTGGAATGTTAGTTAAACAGTAGTTAAAACGACCTCAAGAATTTACTTGATATTCTGTAAAGTTGTTTAAAAATGTCGATGAGATCCAGAATATTCCTTGAAAAATGCCCAGGAAGGCCCTGAAGTTTAACAGAAATATCTAAAAAGTGAAGAGTCATATGTCACATTTCTGATTGGATGATTACTTATCCAACTACTATGTTTAGTAGTGTTCCAAAACCTTCCAGAAGCCCAAGGTCATCTGAAGTACTATGAATACTCTAAATTTTCTGTACATAGAACGAACCATGGAGTAAAGCGTCCTTTTCCATACTTTACATCTTTTCTCCCGTGTTCAAGTTGTCGTGTATATTTAACCTGGGGTTATTAGAAGAGTTTAGGGAACCAATACAAGAGTTCAGTCAGAAGATTTATCAAAAAATGTATTATATTCCACAGATTAAAGTCGGTAAATTCCAACCTGAACATTTAATTCATTTAGTGTTAATCAATTTCACATTTCCACTACTGAATGGTGGTTAAATTTTATTGATGCGGTTAAAATATGGCTTCTAGCCAAAGTGATTCAGCATCGTGGCACATGCACTAGGTTTGATGTTATTTAGTTGAACACAATCAACAGGACGCCATTGACACAAGTTTTAGATCTCATCTAAAATGACACTTACATTAATCTTGCAGATACCATTTCACTGATGATGAGTTTAAACTGACATGACACCTAGATTTAGGGTTTATTCTCAGTTTTTTTCCGAAAATGTTAACATTTCATACATTGGCGTTATTTTGCAAATAGGTTTATTAGTTTGATTCATCATTTATTCTTTTTTAAATAACTTGATCACTAGAAATCTTAGCTGTTTGAAATATTATTTATATACCCGATAGGTGGCAGGTTTAAACCTCGTTTATCTAGCTTAGGTGAGAACAGTCAGACAGTATCACTTCAAGTCTAGTACAATAACTGTATACAGTAAATAAAGAAAGAAAAAAACTTTTGTTCAACTATTTCCTTTTGATAAAATTTTCTTTCACATGCAAATCTACTGTGCATATGATGTTCGGTCAATGGATCAATCCACAGATTTGTATGGTCTTACTATTGTTACCATTACTATGTGTTACATCAGTTGACTATGAAGTATTTCTAAATGTATGAATCACGTATGCAGAAAGGTTATATTTTAGAATAGCCTGTCAATCATCATTGAAGTAAGATCTGAAATAAACACAGAGATAGAGAACATTAACAGAAAACGAGACAAAAAGGGGACCAAATTTCAGTTGCAATAAAGACTTAGATATGAGAGGTATAGTTTGAAAGAAAAAACAAGACTGAAGTATTAACAGTTGAGAATGACACTTAACTCAAGATTAAGTTTACATATAATTGATTTACAACTGAATAGTGATTGATATCCTGTTTGCTTAGTCCTTTCGTGCTGATCAACTTCTATCGATCAAACGGCATTATGGTCAGTAGTCTGAGTGATTAAAATACATCGGGTGCACCAGGTTTAAATTTTAGGTGGTTGGAGGCAGTCGGCAAAAACACCTAGACCTAGTTTTCCTATTATTTGATACTAGTCAGCAGGATGTACTTGTAATCTTGAAGGAACTTATGATCCCTGGTAGGTTTGATCCTGTATCAACCAGCTTCGCATTTACAGGCAACATGGTGCACAAGATATAAAGTTACTTAGATTAGTGACGATGTCTCAATTTCATCTATGGAATTCGGTCAGCACTAAAAAGACTATAGAGACATGAAATTGGTCACTACTCCGTAGTCAATCAATTGTGAGTTACTGTCAATCCTACAGCAGGTCAACCATTGATTACTAATATTACAATGTTTTAGTATTGGGACATTAACCAACTAAGTAGTTTAGTTAAGTGTGGCAAGTGAATAAGTAATAAATGAACATAGTTTTGATGCGAATTCTGTGGTTACTTTGTACAAGCACTTTATTCCTTAATTTATTCTTTCCTTATTTAACTGACAAAACGTCCATTTATCCTAATATTTTATTTAAAGACGCATAAATTTGAAGGGTTTCGTGGATATTGTTAAGATTTTTAGTATTATTCGTCGTAGACTAATCTCATTCGGGATACTGTTAAAAAACATGTAACACCAGATATCTGTTTTATCTTAGAATGGAGCTTCTCAAAAGTCCCGTGGTCTCGTGCTGAACTCTTAACCATTAGAATGATTATTTCGTCGTCCACTTGAGGCAATTTAGATGTGAATAATAGTTCTAACACATATTCGAGAACTCAGTCATTTAATTAGCAATTTAATCTTTCTAAAGTTATTCGATTCAGGTTCGATTTTTTATTCGACCAATTCAGTTTATCGAATCATTTAGATTCTGGTAGTATACAGACTAGATTATTGTTTGTCGTTAAATTCTTCTGTTATGTGGTTAGCGGAATCATTGGAAGAAAAAAAAGGAATTATATGTGGTAGATAATCTCAGCTAATCTAGATTATTACTATTCTAATTCAGAAATGCTTTGTTAGGTGTTATATCGATCTCGTTTCGTTCCGATTGATTCTTCTAACATCATTTCTCAAAAGGAACTAGAAAATTAATCTAATATATTTTATAAATATTATAATATACTAAACTGTTATTGGTTTCTTTTCTCCAATTCTCCAGTCCCATGTCAAACTAATGAAATTTACAATACGACATCTAATCAAGCATTAACTTGTAATTCATTACTTACAAGTAATGTATTACAATATTATATGGAACAATTATTAACTCATTATGGTAAAGATAGTGCATACAAAATTGGTAATCCAATCAAATTTGGTACTGCTGAATTTTTCGACATAAAAATTAGTGGTTTATCTGCTGTACAATTCTCAGAACCAGTTGATATTATTGATCTACCATCAGGAAATATACGAATGATATTTCCGTTATTATTTGACTATCTTGTTATAAATGGTAAAATGAAAATGATCATGTTTGCTACTAAACCTCGGGTAATTAAATGTGTTAACTAGTAATAATAATTATATTATTTATATCTCAATGAGTAGAAAATTTTATTTTTGACGTTTTGTGACTTAATGTTAGTCACTTCTTCAGAGTATTAACTATTGTTTTAAAGTTGAATATTATAAGTTAGAATAGTTCATGTAATGTAGATAGATGTAAATTACAGAAAGCCACTTGAACTCAGCTTTCGTGCAAGGTAGCACTTGTCGGCAGCTTGAGATCATAGCTACTATCTTGATGTGGTATTCGGGTTTAATTATCGTGACGACCCATTTAAGCTGCATTGTCTGAAACACCTGTTCCTTTAGGTCTATTAATGTCAAGCAGGTTCGTTGGAGAATTTTAAGACTAAAATCAATAACTTAAGGTCCGAGGGAGAAGTTCTACTGTTCACAGTGTTAGGGTGTGATGGCAGTATAAAGTTATTGGTTTTTTTCTCCAGTTCTCCAATTGAAGTCCTGTAATCTGACTCCAATTAGATCATATGATGATGTTATCGAAGTATACATCTCGGCTACCCTCGTACATAATTACCGACCTAATTTACGTTAGAGAATAACGGGATAAGTCAAATACGAGAATGAATTTTGAATACGTATAGTTCGTACACTCGATAGTCCAGACAGACATTCGGTATGAAAGGCTGGAAATTGGAATTGAGAGGTCAGATGAACCAATACGATTTGATCAATTGTGACTCAGTATTTATAATCAGACAAAAATGGGCTGCAGACATGTGATGAATAGGGTAAGCAACACACGCATACACTCATTCAAAAACGTCCATGGTTAATAAGCGAATAATTGGCAAGATCAAATTATGACTCAAGAAATACGACTAAACTGGACTGTCCGGAGGCTAGAATAACCAAAGCATGCTTCACATAGTACCAAACACTACAAGATCTCATGGTGAGTAGGTTTATCATCCAACCACCGAATCAGAATTCTATTTCTCCTATTTTCAAAATGCAGTCATTTTTTGGCATAATTCATTCAATGTCACAGGTAAAGTACTGTCTCATTCCAGATTTAACTGCTTCCTATTTAACCCCTTATTTGTTCTTAATTAAGTTGTCTAATGACTGATTAAAAAAGTAATTAGGATACTTGATAACGTTATTAAGATGTTAATAGAATTTTAAAATGATTCTCATCTTTATCGTTTTACTCTTCAACAATGGATATGGATAATGCCATACCACAATTCGATCGACCAAGTATGTTATATGGACTAGTGAATTGTAACTCTTTAGTTCAAGAATATCATGGTCATTGCTAAACCTGTATAGTTTTATAATTGTGACGGTATTCATTAAGAATCACAAGCTAGAAGAGCATATCCAACTAATATTGCTTGGTTCTAAACTGTTGTTCAGCTGATATCACTTTTTAATAAAGATCACTTTTGGAATATACTTTTCTAATTTCGAACGATAATATTTTTGAAGATCATCTTTATTAACAAGATTAGTTGTCACGAAATAAATTTCCAAGATATTATTATTAGATCGGTTAAAGTCCAGCTGATTTTCTCTTAATCTATGTACGACTACCCATCGCCTACATTGACAAAGAATATTAGTCCGTATACGAGTAAGTTGGAAGGAATTTGAAGGTATCTAAACCAGAAAGCGATATCAGTTCATGAAATGATTGACTGTTGATCTAACCCATGTTCTCAGAAGCTGGCTACCCTGGTAAAGTCAAAGTAATAACTACAATTATGGGCTGAAGACAGTCGACATCGCTCAAAATTAGTCACAATGATAAACATATTCTACCTTATGATAAAACTTGACTTTTAACCCTTCCTCATCAATATATCCTCACTCTGTCTTTTGGAACTATGTTCGTAATTTGAAGTCTTTCTGACTATAATTACCATTCCATTATATCTCTTTACTAATCATTTTGTTAATTTTATTTAAATTGTGTCAATACTGTATGGCAGTTTAGACTGATGCATATTTTTACCAGGCTTTACATTGATTATGACTGACTTACTTTTTCTCACAAAATTAATTATAATCTCCACAAAGCACATATATTTTCTATAGGTCATAGTCTTCAGATTGTGTTATGCAATCATGGAAACATTGATTATTTATATCTTCTTGTAATAGTTATTTGCTTATCTTTTAACTAGTTACTTGAAACTTTTGATGAAACTGTTCTGAATCTATTAGTTTATTTAACTGGTTGGCAAAATTTTGAAATAATGCTACCATTGTGGCGTGTGCTACTTATATTGATTTAAGTAGTATGTAATGTCTGGAAGCAGAAGATGGGGGAAGATCAAGAAAGCAAGAGCGGGAATAGAATGCAATTTGTATGAAAATGAAAGGACAATGAAGTCTGAAGCAGTTTGAAACAATTGGTGGATATTTTGCAAATTAACGATTTGATATATGGTTCTCAGATTTATTGAGATGCTCTGTAATATTATGTCAAGTGCATTCGATTGTCCCCACCGGTGTTCTTGTTCCCTACACCATAATAATGTACAGTATAGCTAATGATAGAGGGACATGATAAGTGAGATGATAAGATCGTCTTACGATTTTAAAGCCAATGAATAGAGAGTCTTGGTAAATTAAAAGTATTTTACATCAGAAACAATTAAATCTGTTGAAGTTTAACGAATTTAGAAATTTTATTGTTCTTCATGACTAATATGTTCTATGAAGTATCGATAAATAGCCTCATTGATCGATATGTCGATCAATTCACCTTAAAGGTCTCTTTCTAAATCTTTTTCATAACCATAGATATTTTAGTATCATTATTAAAAAGGTTTAAGTTATTCCATTAGTTGGCATATGCTCAGCTTGCGTGAATTGTCTCGATTTAGTCATTCTTCACAAGATTTTATTGAATAAATAGACGATAGTTAACAGTGGATTATATAATGTTCATTTCGTCCTATTTTGAACTTGTAAGCTGTATGTATTGACATTTCAGCGTTGTTTGTACCTAAACTCAGTGGTTAATGTATTTAAATTTGAAGTGAAATGTATTGAGTTAGAGTCTGATTGTGAACAACAATACTGGAATTCAGGTTCTTCCACTGATAAGTTCCGAATAAGATGAAACTTGTGTCCTAGATCCCACTGTTGGTCACTATTCATTTTTCCTATAAATAATTTTTTATCAAGAACTCATTATTGTCAACAAAATTTTTATCAGTAAATTCGTTGAACAATTAAGAAAACTTAATTACAATACTACGGTATGAGGGAAGTTGTGCGAGAAAAAGAACTTTATCTGTATTAGCATTGTTACATAACTAACCCTCCTATTATTTTGCAAATCATTAATAAAGTGATCTATTTGAGAGTTTACTATGAACAAGATGAACTGAAACAAAAACTCAATATTTTACTTGACATATACAATGTACATAGAAATAAATGGCGATTTGACACATTGAATAGTAACATTTCTACCTGACAATAATAACACCACAATATATTATACATAGGTATTTTATATAATTTAGACTAAACATCATTCATTTTTAAAGTCCTCACAGCAACAACAAAAACGAACGAAAAATATGCTCTCGATTCTAACTGCCTTTATTATTATTATTAATGGCTTTATGAGATAGTGGAGAAAATTTGTAGCTCAGGTCTACCTGAAGTTTGTGCTGATTATGTCGTTCAGAAGAACGATGAAAGCTCCATGACTAAACCATCCAGCTCAGAGAACAAAACTCCATCAAAATTAATGGCTTTATTCAATATGATATTTTCGTTAGAATATAAAATTCTCAGAACAAAGCATTTCAATAACTTTCCGTTTTTTTATTTTTTTGCTTAATCATAAGGATAAATATTGAATAATCGCCAGTTGGATAGATGTTAGCAATTCAGAAAACGATATCTGACTAACATTCATTCTTTTTAATGTATGTTGCCAGTCATCACGATCTCTCTGATTATACTTTTTTATAACTTGTACAAAGTTCATAAACGCACCTAAATAAATTATACGGTTAATAGACATAATGAAGCGTTAAAACAAACAAAACACTAGTGACTGACTCCAAGAGGCGTTTTCTGAAGTCTCAGTGAGAAGCCGTGACCAGTGGAGTTCAATCAGGTCTGTTGTGAGATGGCGTACGGTGGCACAATTTATTGGATTGTTTGAAGCTAGATATTAACACCGTTGAATACTGGCTCAGTGGTCTAGTTGGTTAAGCGCTCGTGTGCGAGACTGACAAGTCCTGGGTTCGAACCTCGCGGTGGGCGAGATCGTGGATGCGTACTGCTGAGAAGTCCCATACTAGGATGAAACAGCCGTCCAGTGTTCACAGATGTCCCATGGTGGTCTAGCTTCAATTGATTCATAATTTCAACTATTGGAAAACAGATAACTTCTTGAAAAATTTAGATGGCAAGAACAAATAGCCGAGATATTCAAGCAGTTCATTTGTGATCTTTATACTATAGTTACAATTAATATACTTAATAGTTTTTTTATATCTAAGTATACTTTCTCTTCTTCTTTCTTTTTCTTCTTCACATTTCATAGTCAGTTGAAATTAAAATTAAATCAATCAAAATATATTTGGATTTACTACTTATACAACCAATGGACAATGATTTATTATTACCAATTCGTGTGAACAAAGTTACTGTTATCCATTGGAATAATCTTCGATTTGATAGTAAAGGTGTTTTTACAATCTTTTTTAAAATGTTCAATCAATTTCGTTTATATGATGGTATCATTAAACGTTCAATTGAAAAAGAAATTTATCAACAAATTGAAAGATCATTAAAATCATTTTTTAATCATTAAAAAAAGGAATAGAAGTCAATTGTTTATATTTATTTCATTGTAAAATTGAATAATTTTATTTTGTTTTATTAAGTAGTAATTGAAATCAATATTATATAGTTGTAAGTTCTATTTAAGCAATAGAGTTAGACAAGATTGCACAATCTCAACATTCCACTTGAATTTTGTTGTTGATAACGTTCTGGAAACAGTTTTGATGGATGTAGTAAATGGTAGTGTGGATTTATTGTTTAGAGAAAGACTTCTTTATTTTAAGTATGCGGGTGATACCCAAGTCATACAATCCGCACTTAATCAGTTGGCAATTAGTGCCTGTAGGTATGGTATATGCTTTGCACATTCCCGGTGCAAAGTTCGTGTATATGTGTAGTTGCATAAGTACTGGTGGTGGTGTGAGTGATGAGATCAATTCACGTATAGTGAAAGTCAAAGTGGCCTATGCTAATCTGGGTCATCTTTGGCGCCTTCGTTCTGTCAGATTGGCTGTAAAAATCTGAATCTATAACACGTCAGTGAGAGCGGTTTTGCTCTATGTTTGTGAAACCTGGCATCATCAAGTTGAGAATGTTAGACTACTCTTTGTGTTTGATTATCGTTGTCTTCGAAGCATTGCTGCCATCCAGTGACAATACCATGTAAGTAATGCAAAGGTTCGGCATCGTGTGTTTCGGTATAGCGACGGTAATTAAATTTCTATCACTATCTTGGAACATCAACTTCGGTGTCTTGGACATGGCTTACGAATGTCGTCCCAGCTAGTTCCACATCGTGCATCATTTGCTGACTCTGTGACCGGTTGAAAAAACAGAGAGGTGGTCAGTGTACGACATGGTGTCGTGATACGAAAGAAATCTGTACAGGACTGGCTTCGGTTGGTCCTTGACGATTCCCTGGTTGGGGTCCTAGAGATGGTGCGACATAGTGGCTAGAGACGTTATCAGATATGGCTCAGAATAGAAGCCAGTTGCCATCCTGCTGTAACTTTATTTTACTTTTTCCATAAAAAATAGACGTATCTTCTTTAACTGGAGGAAATTTTCTGGTTGTACATATGAAGACGGCCCACGGGTGAACTCGAGGAAGCTGTAGGAGGCTCAGAAGGAGCCGTAGATATTCCACCCAATCACCTTTTGGAAGAATATTCTAGAATCCCTACGTGTAGCTTCCCGATTGGATAATGCTAATAACCCCCTGTATGTGGATTGGAGGACTGTAATGATGATTTCGTTTTTACTAAAAACTATTAGTACCTGACAATTTTGTATTGTAATTGACACTGTCTGGGAAAAATATTCCTTTCATTAGTCTTCTGTCTTCTCATTGCGACTTGCAAGGGTTTTGGCGTTCTAGTGCTCACGTTATACGCGGTATATGAAGAACAACCTTCTAGATATAACAGTACATTTTCTGACTGAACTGCTTTTCCCATTATTATAAATTCACTCTCATACACTAATTTCTGTTCGTTATTGTTCCCATTTTTCTTATACGCACCATACATTCTCTATCTCTTCACATTCTCATTGTTACTGTGTGGCGCATGTATTTGATGCTCCTTTATACCAATATATATGTGTTCAAACAAATAAATGTATATTTGTAAAATGAATAATTTGTATTCAAGTAATTTTACGTTTCTTTCGTGCGTCGTTTTGTTTTTCGAGTTTTTCTCATTTATATTACCTGGTAGTGTAGGAGAGACTTCCGTCTACTAACAAAAATGACGAGTATACTCCTTAGCAGTTAGCTTTCTCTTCTATTTTATGAGTGAGAAATTCGACATTTAGAAAGGATAATAATAATAATAACAGGTGAGACTATAATTTATAGACTAACCAATCAGATATAAAATAATGAGTCTCGTTTTTGGCACGAAATTCATCCACACATTTGGCTAAATAAAGTTTTGGCATTATAGCTGATGTCAGTTCGTGATGAAAACCCTAAATCTAATTTTTAACCCTAACAATCAACTGTAAATGAGAATTCTAACTGCTTTATAATCCTCACTTAGTCCTATTCAGTAGGCGTCCACTCTCAAGGTCACTTCAGCGTCGCTCAAAGGTCGTCCATAAATTATAGTCTCACCTAATAACATAGCTTTATTCAGTATCATATGTTAGGTTACTAGTGTTTGAGCATAGATGTCTTCGGAGCATCGATCACATATTTTGAAACCATCAAGTAACCAGTGTTGATGTTAGAAATAAAATATTGGATAAAGTAAGTAAATCGGTTGCCTCTTCCGATCCGATTCCTTTTAATGTATTATATTATGTTACTTACTAATATTCAGTAGATAATATATCTCGTTATTTTCGAAAAAGTGGCTTACCGCGTTTTTTTGTTGGTTTGTATTATTCCCAAGGACATAAACGAAATTGTAATTGTACATTATTAACATTTTCTGATGTGTGGGTGAGAATGACAATGATTGGTTGTCTGCTTAGTCAGATATGTAGATGGTCTGACAGGTGTCAGATGAGTTACATATTCCCCTATCCTTATTATTATTATTCTGACTCATTATTGATTGTTCATTGTTGTTGGATTGTGTCAGGGTTTTGGTGTGGAAATATATTTACGTTGTGGTCAGGCTAATCACGTGTTCTTAGTCTGAGTTATGTTGATGTCCTGTAGAATAGACACTGGGAGGGAATTTTATGTAGATATTCGAATAAGGTAAATTAACGTCCTATAAGTGTAAACGTGGAAAACTAACCGTTCTAACATTTTCAGTACTTGTTTTCATTTATTTTGTGTCCATTGAACATTTATTTATTTACAATAGTTTACATATTTTGTGTTCTTAGTTCTCAGTTTGATTATTGACTACAATCGTGCTATTGATCAATCTACTGGGTGTTACGTCGGTTATCAAATGTTTTGGTCGATAGCATTCGATCTGCACTAAGAGGGCCTTGACACACATGACATTGATCACCACCCAGTGATTGATCAATTGTGAGTACATCTCCTGGATAGCCCAGCGGTAACGTCTCTGACCGAGAAGCTGGGTGATACGGGATCGAACCTGTCAGGGAGCACCAGTTCCTTCAAGATTACAGATTCACCTTGCTGACGAGTGCCAAATAGCACGAAACCTGGGTCCAGGCTTTCTTGTTGATTACCTCCAATCACCATTTTATCTCAACATAGTGCACGCAATGTCGAGTTCCTAAACCAGTGACCACATTTCAACTCGGTCGATAGCATTCGATCTGCATTAAGAAGGACTTGACATACAGGTCATAGATCACCACCCAGTGATCAATCATTTGTAATGTTTTTGTACCTAATTTCTATATTAATATAACGGAAAAATTTGTTCATTGATTTTAAAATGACACAGTAAACGTCTTTTGCATCTCAGTACCATATCCACGTCACGTATTTTTATACTTGAAAGAATGAGGAACCGCTGCAATCCCTGCGACTTGAAGTAAGAACGCCAAGACTGATATAAGTGAAGATTTATTAAGACCAAAACATGACCCTAGTAGGAAATACACTCATCCATATATATTGATTTTACATCCATTTTGATTATTAACTAGGATGAAATGACATATGTAGTAAATATCCAAAGTTATGACAAATTACATGCTACATGTCATGATGAGCATAGTGTACGTTAATTTTGTACAAGAATATCGTATCTTGAATAAACATCACATTCAAATAAATCAACGATATACCGAATAAAATACCCTGAACAACGGAAGTGATGTTGAATGAAAATTACAATGAGTAAACTAATATAATTTTACCCTTTCATTCTATCATATCACTAACAAGTTAAGGCTTGTGTTAGAAACACAAGTATCCTATTTTAGACAAATCATTTGTTGTTGTTGTTTTTTGTTATTTCTGCGCATAGATCAATAACATTTAAGATCTTCACGTTATGGAATGATAAACTGACGAACTAAATATTACCCAATATTATCAAAAAACCCACTTCCTTCTAGTATTGTATTATTGAATGGTGAACACTAACGATTACTTCAAAGATTATACGTAAAGGTGTCTGTTTCAAAGAGAGTTTAATAAATAAATCATCAATTCATTCAGATTATAATTTTCAACCTTCTAAGTTCTTTTTTTCTTTAATACATTACTTTACTTCATAAACACTTTACAATGGCTAGATTTCTTATGAGTTATAGAATAAAATTTCACAGATTGAAATCATGAGTCAGTTGAAGCTAGACCACCATGGAAAACCTGGAAGCACTGGACGGCCGTTTCGTCCTAGTATGGGACTCCTCAGCAGTGTGCGTCCACGATCCCGCGAAACCAGTAGGTCCTGGGTTCGAATCCCACGGGGTGCGGGATCGTGGAGGTGCACCGCTGAGGAGTCCCGTACTAGGACGAAACGGCCGTCCAGTGCTTCCAGGTCTTCTATGGTGGTCTAGCTTCAACTGACTCATGATTTCAATCTGTGAAATTTCTAAAATCTCCACAAACCCCTTCTGATTATAGAATAAAAGACAAATACTTCTTATAAAACATTTCATTATGTTAATAATAAATATTGATAGTAACGATAATGATATCACATTTTATATGAGAACTTGTTGTACAAAGCCTATAGCATTTATGGTATAGAGGGTGGTGGTGGTGGGGGAAACTGAAAACTGAATGGAAATGCATATATTCTTTTTTCTTGTTCAAATTACCTTTTGGTTATATGTAAACTAATATGATACATATGAATCAAAAGGATTAAACATAATATCAACTTATTTGTGAATTATATGCAAGTTTTAACAATTTCCATGGAACTCTTGAATGTCAATAAAATAAATTAATTAACGAAACAAGGAACTAAAAAGCGTATCAACCCAGGAAGAAAAGGAATGAATTGTAATGATTCATTTGTTTATCTCTTATGAATAGAATTGTGAATTATTGTCACTGAAACGCTGTACACTATAATATCTGTGTGGATTAAGGTTTATTATTCTGTGCATTTATGTAATAATATATATATCTGTGTAGGCAGATCATGTCAACGTAAGGGACAAATAAATGAATAAGCGAATGAATGAATACTCAAATTAGTAAATGAATGAAAGACATTTGGCAAAAATGAAGATTGTTTCATTGTTTTATGGAAATTGTTTAAAGTTATAGTGGTTTTGTTTATAAGATTGGTAAGAAAATTAAGCGATTATATAGCAGGATTGTTGATAACATCAGGTAGTTTACAGACATTGTTACATCTTTTTTTTGGAATGGATGAGCTAAAATCAAATATATATAAGAGTAAACATTAGTATATTTGGTTATTAGTAATAATTAAAATAAATCTTTGTTACTTCTTTGTGTTTATTAACCATGAATAGGATATAAGATAGATTATTCTATACAAATTTGTATTATTATGGCTTTCTTGAGGCAATTCGCACAGGATGGACAAATGTCAACCAAAACTAATTGAAATTCAGTCAACATATCAACGACGGGATAATCAAAGCCATTACAAATTAAATTCGTACACGTTGCATTAGTGAACGACTATCTGGACCCAATAGTTAAGTTTGTAGCGCGTTATTTTTTGAAGCGAAAAGTGCTGGAATTTTATTACGAAGTAAAAATCAACTCAGAGATTATGGAACATCCAGCTGGAGAGTCCCAAATAGGATGACAAGCGAGTCCTAGTTTCCACTGCTACCTAATTTTTATCTGTTCTACATAGATTTGTATATATACTTATAGCAACCGATGAGTAGGTATCGGATCTTATGGATCCACATGGTATTTAGTCACTATTCTGATTAACTCAACAAAACGGTATACTTTGTTTGGTTTTAAATGGTTCACGAGTCTGAATCTAGGTTTTATGCTACCTCAGACTCATGACTAAAGCCTGTTCTCTCACCCATCTGAATAGGACTATATTCGCTCTGTAGTTTTATGCATGATGTTAGTCACTACTCAGCAATCGATTAGTGTACAAATGTAGTCGTTAACCAAGTGGACTATTTGAAACATTTTGTATCATAATTATGGATAACGTTTGACATGAGTTCTTTCAAGATTACTGAAACTTTATACTGTTAGGTGAAAAATAAGCTTTCTTTAAATTGTTTCCGACTAGCGGTAACCGAATACCCTGTGTGTATATTTTAGGATTTATTGATTTACTCCTTATTAACCCTTATTGAAATCATTCCATAATAAAGACCTGAGTACACTGAACAACTCTCACATTACAGTCAAGCCTGTAATGATGTATGTGACTGAATTAAATTTAATTCATACTTATTTAAAATCATTTGTCGGAAGTATAAATTATTCACATGATAGTGAAACAATATTGACAATGACCTATCTAGGGTAATAGAATCTGCTAACTACATTTTTAGTAGTTAAGACTTAGTGAATGGTACATTTCGCAAACGTTTCATGTCATGAGGTAATGGGATGGGCAACAAAAACTAAAAAGCGTATTCAGTTAGGCGCATGTATGAAGACAGCATAATTGAAGAGTGATTTTCAAACCAAGAATTGTTAACATTTAAAGAATGATTAAAATGCCAATGTATATTGGACAGCGGATTCAACCAATCTTGTCTCATCAGTAGTGTACACCACGTACCCAGTCTACTTTCTAAACGAAACTTTAACTT